TGGCGGGAGAAATAGCAGGTGCGCTGGCAGTAAATTTCCAAAATTCGCTGGACTCTGGGGCAGTCCCAGCAGATTGGAAAACAGCAAATGTGACACCACTGTTTAAAAAGGGAAGTAGACAAAAGATGGGGAATTATAGACCAGTTAGCTTAACCTCTGTAGTGGGGAAGATGCATGAGTCTATTATCAATGAAGAAATAGCAAGACATCTTGATAGAAATTGTCCCGTTGGGCAGATGCAGCATGGGTTCATGAAGGGCAGGTCATGCTTGACAAATCTTTTGGAATTCTATGAAGACATTACGAATGAGGTGGACAATGGGGACCCAGTGGATGTGGTGTACCTAGACTTCCAAAAGGCCTTTGACAAGGTGCCGCACAAGAGGCTACTGCATAAGATAAGGATGCATGGCATTAAGGGTAAAGTATTAGCATGGATAGAGGATTGGTTGACTAACAGGAAGCAAAGAGTGCTATTCTGGCTGGCAGTCAGTGACTAGTGGTGTGCCTCAGGGATCGGTGTTGGGACCGCAATTATTTACAATTTATATAGATGACTTGGAGCTGGGGACCACGTGTAGGGTGTCAAAGTTTGCAGATGACACTAAGATGAGTGGCAAAGCAAAGTGTGCAGAGGACTGTGAAACTTTGCAGAGGAACATAGATACATTGAGCGAGTGGGCAAAGGTCTGGCAGATGGAATACAATGTAAATAAATGTGAAGTCATACATTTTGGTAGGAGTAATAGTAAAAAGGATTATTACTTGAATGGTAAAAAGTTGCAGCATGCTGCTATGCAGAGGGACCTGGGTGTCCTTGTGCATGAAGCACAGAAGGTAGGTCTGCAGGTACAACAAGTAATTAGGAAGGCAAATGGAATTTTGTCCTTCATTGCTAAAGGGATTGAAATAAAAAGCAGAGAGGTTATGTTGCAGCTGTACAAGGTGCTGGTGAGGCCACACCTAGAGTACTGTGTGCAGTTTTGGTCTCCTTACTTGAGAAAGGATGTACTGGCACTGGAGGGGGTGCAAAGGAGGTTCACTAGGTTGATTCCGGAGTTGAGGGGGTTGGCTTATGAGTAGAGACTGAGTAGATTGGGATTATATTCATTGGAATTTAGAAGATTGAGGGGGGATCTTATAGAAACATATAAAATTATGAAGGGAATAGATAAGATAGAAGTAGAGAGGATGTTTCCACTAGCAGGTGAAACTAGGACAAGAGGGCATAGCCTCAAGATTAGAGGGAGCAGATTTAGGACTGAACTGAGAAGGAATTCCTTCACCCAGAGAGGGTTGTTAATCTGTGGAATTCCTTGCCCAGTGAAGTAGTTGACGCTACTTCAGTAAACGCTTTTAAAAAAACGGTAGATTTTTTTTGAACAATAAAGGAATTAAGGGATACGGTGAGAATGCGGGTAAGTGGATCTGAGTCCACGAAAGGATCAGCCATGATCTTATTGAATGGCGGAGCAGGCTCGAAGGGCCAGACGGCCTACTCCTGCTCCTAGTTCTTGTGTTCTTGTGCTGTGTTCTTGTGAGTTTACCACCTTCATCCTCTCATCCCCCAGTTTGTAGCTTTCATATCTGCATCTCTCTTTTTTTGTCTGTCAGGCAGACAGCTTCTTTCTGAACTTCCTTTCTGCCAGCACTATTTCCAGGTCAGGGGATGGCAAGTTATAAGGACTGGTATTTCTTCTTCGCTGAGAAAATTACAATTTATCCTTTTATAACTGTAAATCCTTCAAAATCCATTTCAAAACATCTTGAAACAGTTGCAGATCCCAGGGATATTGTAATAGACCTGTGAGTTTCCTCCAAACCACACATAATCCTGACTTGGAATCATATCATCATCTCTTCACAGTCATTGGCTCCAAAACCCAAAACTTCCTTCCTGATAAAAATGATTATGACATCCTTCTGAGAGACCTTCTCCGCTTTTTCACCTTTCTCCAGTTCTCCTTCTAGCAAGCTGTACTCCTCTAAGTCATCTCTGCTCCTTCTGTTATGTTGCAGGCTGAGGTGAATGGAAAGTATGGTAACAGGATTAAATGGTTTGAGCAAGATACTAGGAGTCAAAACCAAGACCAACATGAGACATGCCATACCCTGTAAACTTCACCATAATTAACTATCAACATGCAATTTACCAACTATTTTCATTAATTTTAATAACTTGGCAGCAGCCTATAGAAGTTCAATAGCAAGTGAACAGAATATTCTAGAGTCAAGAATTGTACAGGATGGAAACAGACCCTTTGATCGTACTAGTCCATGTCGACTAAATATCCTAAATTAATCTCGTCCCATTTGCCAGCATTTGGCCCATATCCCTCTAAACCCTCCATTCGGATGCCATTTAAATGTTGTAGTTGTACTAGCCGATACCTTCTCTTCTGGCCGCTCATTTCATAAATGCATCACTGTCTGCATGAAAAGGTTTCCTCATATGTCCCTTTTATTTATTTCCCCTCTCACCTTTAACCTATGCCCTCTAGTTTGGGCTCACCTACCCTCGGAAAAAGACTTTTGGCAATTCACCCCTTTAAAAAAATCAACGTAAAAAATATGACTGAGGCAGAGTTTGGGGATTATGGGGAGATTTTCCATATTCAGCTCGACAAGATTAGAACAGTATTTTAACTGGAGTATTGAAGTTGAAAATGCCACTATGCCAAATCAATGTTATGTATTGACTGACACCACAATGTGCTTATCTAGCAACATTGGAACATGAGAACACTACTAATGTACTCAAAATGGGACGCAAAAAGTTGTTCATGCCAAAGTTAGGCTTGCATTGCACAGACACCAATTTGGACATGAGACACCACCAAAGGCCAAATGTAATAGCTGACACATTTACCTCCCTTCCGCTTTTGTAAGATGAACTGCACCATGTATCGCACTCCAGCAGAAGAGAAAAATAAATCACCTTCTCTCAGCTTTTATTAACGTAATTCTATAACCCTACTTTGGAGAGCAAAGAATGAGAACCCTGATAATGTGTTCAGTTCAGAATTCAATTATGAATTTAAGCACTGTTTCATGTGAGTAACACCTTGTTGATAAGCATACCTACTTTCTTGTTTGCAAACTTATTGACCACTTTAAATCGCTCCAATGTCTGCCAAATACTTTCGATTCCCCCATGGTAGACTCTATCTCTTGGAAAAGAGAACAGTGGGTTAGAGTGTGGAATTGGTTGTTAGATCTCAGTTTGTGTGGGCTGGCTGTTAGCAAGTGTGTGAAACCAGTTTGAGGGCAACTGTGCCACCGATATATCCTTTGTCTTAGCTTCCAATTGTTTATTATTGGTTTCTAATGTTGCTAAGTTGCCCTTCCATAAGTTTAACACGACATTTCCTGCCCTCCAATTGAACAGTTTCTCCTCCTTAACTCTTTTTTTGTTTATAACACTACTAGCTACTTACAAATGTATCACTTCTTATAGAAGTTCTATGAGACATTATCTGCCCTATCAGAAAATACCGGGTGGGTTCAAAATCACCTACTCATACAGTAATGTGAAAAATACTTCAGAGATAGCAGGCCAAAGCAACATGTGTCTTCAATATCTTCAGCAGTGTGGGTAGATCTGTACTGAATTTAAAATTGTTTCTCAGTGCCGATAGACCACATGCACTTTCCAAATTCTTGGCACTTTTGGACAAACTCATAATTTTAAAGTCAATGAACCAGTTTAACTGTATAAGAATCACAAAACACTGTATTTAAATGCAGTTAAGAATAAAAAAGTGCAAGTTGAAAGAGGACAATGTTAAAGCCGTTTTAGAAAATGAACAGCTGGATACCCAACATATGTTCTTAATGACCCACGTGATGTTCACTGTAACTTTAGGTTCAGTAAAACAAAAATTGGTCCTTTGTTAGTTCTCTGTTTCATGTCTTAAGGTACATGAACAAATCTTAGAGAAATAGGACTCTGCCTTTCTTTACTTTCCATGCGAATCATTGATAAACTTTGTGTTGGTAAAATTAAAAATTTATATCTGAGTAATTTGTTGGTATGTTTACCTATCTTATCATTAGGATTTTTTTCCAAAGTTCCAACTTCCAACACCAGCTTATAAAACAGTAATTACTGCTCCAAGAAATCAGGAAAATCCACTCCAACACTGAACTAGAGGGCATAGGTTTAAGGTGAGAGGGGCAAGATTTAAAAGGGACCTAAGGGGGATCTCTTTCACTCAGATGGTGGTGCATGTATGAAATGAACTGCCAGAGGAAGGCATAGAGGCTGGTACAATTACAACATTTAAAAGGCATCTGGGTGGGTACATTAATAGGAAGAGTTTAGAGGGTCTGTTTCCGTGCTATACATCTCTCTGACTCTATGACTGATATGATATCCCCATTCCTTACCTGAGAGATGTAAAGGAAACCAAATTTCCCCTTGCACCAGTTTGACTTCTATCTAAGGTGTTCTCTTGTAAGTTTCAGCATTGATTATACAAATGTTAGTTGCCTTACTCCCTAACTTATCTCATTTCTTTATTGCCTGTTAGACCAAATGACATAGTCCTTTTGGAACAGCTTTACCTGGATTTTCGATTGTACTTTGTCAGAAAAATCACATCATGAAGTTAATGAAAATCTTGTAAGATCTCAAGTGGATTATTTTAAACGCTAAATTTATAACAGTGTAGAAGAATGCAGAAAGGTTAAAAAAAGCTTAATTTATTTTCATTTATTTTCAAAATATCTAAAACAATCCTTACTTGCTAGACTGGCAAATTCAGTAGCTTTTGAAGAAATATCATAGACTTGATTGACTTACAGACGTTTCTTCCTTTCACACAAACAACATTTCTGGCTGTTCCCTTAAAAAAAAGATTTTTTGGCAACCTTTCAGGAAACGCTGCTTGAAGTCATGTATGGAAATCTGTGCAACCTACTCCGATTTCTTGGTTCAAAACAAGCCCATTTCATCCTGCTCTTCCTGTGCTTCTCCTAAGCCTTTTTATTTAAGACTAGGTCACTACTCTACATATCGATAATTTTCAACATACCTGAAAATCTACAGAGCTATTTTATTCGAGTGAAGCAGTGAAGCTACAAGGAAAATATATACTTACCACTCGCTATGAAACTTGAGCAAAGTATATTAAACTTTTCCATTGTGAAGAAAGCATTTGAGCAGCTGCACAGTTAAACCCAATAAGGTAAGTGTTCTATGATGTATTAGAGAATGTATTTGCTTGGATTATTTCTTTTCCTCTAACAGAATTTTTCAGGCATAGCATCATGCTTACAAACAGATCTGAGGAAGGCAGTTGAAAAATGATTAGAATTTCAGATCATCAAGAATAAACATCATAGATAGTGGGTGCCTGTGCATTGAAATTAATTTTGATTCTTTAAGTTGTTATTGGTGCATTTGATACATACTGATCACTACTTGGGCGAACAACTTTCAGTTATTTCATTTTTGCAGTTACACTTTGCTCCAATGGAAAGATAATGCTGCTAAAATCTGGAAGAGAAATTGAAGGGGTTAGATACCTTCTGACTACGGAAATGGATAAATGGCATTTGAATCATTCAGAAATAACTGATGCAAATAGTTGCTTTATTTTGCAAGATAAGTTTCTGAAAATAATTTTATGCTCAGTACCACAGTAACTTGTTGAGGAAGTAACTTTTGTGGTGTTAAATATAAATATTTTGAACAAAAAGGTAAATTTTGCACGTTTGTCTATGAATTAAATTGAAACAACAGTCTCAAAATGAAAACTCTGGTTTACACTTAAGCTGGAGGGAAGAGTGTGCATGCATTGTCATACTGTCAGCTTCCTTGCAGTCTCCTGCTGAGCTTGTGCCATTGATAGACTTCAAATAGACAATGTTGTTGCATTTGTGATTAATTCAAACAAACAACATTGAAACAAAGGGAAAAAAAAACACTGGTTTTGTTGTCCTCATACCCATTGGACACAGTCTGCTTTGGTTTTGGAAACATGGAATAAGTTATGTGCAGCCAGCATCATTTGTTCATATCAGAATAGATTACACAAAGTCTTTTCTCATTAGTCACATTTTGCACACTTCATCTATTGTAGCTGTTGGGGCACTGGTTAGATCATTGGGTTGGCAAAATAATGTTCATGGCAGCTGTTTCATCTTCCTCCCAACACTATCACAGACAGATTTTAAATTATATCTTGAATTCTTCTACTGTGCAAAGGCAATTAGTTTGTGACAATAGGAGTGTGTGGCGCAAGTAACATAATTAAATATTTAACCTTATAAGTTAATAACAATATCTATAGTAAAACAAAGGTTGAAAAGAACTGATGTGATAATTTTTAATTTAAAGCATTACATTAGTTTTTGGGTAGGCATAGGGGTTTGTTGCTTTAACATTGAAGACATTTGAAGTCACTCATCTACAACTCATTGCATTCTCAAAGGTTATTGTTAATCTAAAAACTGTACATAATGTGGATGAGATTAATTTATTTTGGGAAGGGTTCTTATTGTTGGCCTATTTAACATGTTAGTGTCTAGTTAGATTGGCATAGCACAAAATACTCTTAGATTAAATACATGAAGAAGATGCACAGTATCCTCATTTTTTAAAAAATCTTAATCACTATCTAGTGTATCCTGTTGGTAAAGTGATGTATGTCAATATTGAAGAACAGTCTTGTAACACCCACTGTGTATAATAATGTATCCAGCTGGTATGTTTGATATTAGTGCAGTCAACCTGTTTCTACTTGTGGGCAGCTAGCATTGCATAAGGTAGCCATTAATATATTCAGTAGGAAATTTTGTAGAAGCTTCTTCACCCAGAGAAATGGCACAATGTGGATTTTGTTGGGATAGGGAGTAGTTGAAGTGAACGGCATAAATGCAGCCAATGGGAAGTCAGATGGGGAAAAGAGCAGAAGCCAAGGCTGGTAGAGATAGGGGTACAGCAGGCTGTGAAGCATCGACACCAGCACAGACGAGTAGGGCCAATAGAAAGATTCTGTGCTGAGAATGCCTTGTACTACATTATTATCCAGCATAAACAATGTCTTTCAGAGCTGACACAACTGAGTCAGAATACATTCATACAAATGACAGCACAGGTACTGATCATGCAGCCCAAACAGTCAATTAAGAATGGGAGAAAATGAAACAGTGGTAAAGAATTCACAGCATAATACTTGCATAACTTATTTCTGGTAGTTTTACCAAAAAACAATTTCTCTACTTGCCCTGAGCAGAATCTGAGCAAAATATATTGTATAACACTCATTTGCACACACTTCAAGTTGTCTTTTTTTGTTAACACAGTGTGGAGCTGGAGGAACACAGCAGGCCAGGCAGCATCAGAGGAGCAGGAAAGTGGATGTTTCAGGTCGGGGCCCTTCTTCAGAAATGGGGGAGGGGAAGGAGGCTCTGAAATAAATAGAGAGGGGGGGACCCCACTACAAAGGATATATTTCGCTCCCCACCCTTATCTACCTGCCGGAGGGACCGCTCTCTTCGCGACTCCCTCGTGTGCTCCACACTCCCCACTAGCTCCACCACCCCTGGCACTTTTCCCTGCAATGGCAGGAGGTACTACACCTTCCCCCACACCTCCCCCCTCATCTCAGGCCCCAAAAAACCTTCCACATCAAACAGATGTTCACCTGCACATCCGCTAATGTGGTCTATTGTATCAGGTGCTCCCGATATGGCGTCCTCTACATTGGTGAGACCAAACGGAAGCTCAGAGACTCCGTTGTAGAGCACCTATGCTCGGTTCGCGACAAACAACGACACCTCCCAGTCACGAACCACTTCAACTCCCCCTCCCATTTCCTGGACGACATGTCCATCCTGGGCCTCCTCCAGTATCACAACGATGCCACCTGGAAACTGGAGGAACAGCACCACATATTCCGACTTGGAAGCCTACAACCCAATGGTCTCAATTGGACTTTACTAGCTTCAAAGTCTCCCCACCCCCAACTTCATCCCAAGGCCAGCTCCCCCCACCATCCCCACCTCATTGACCTGGCCGACTTCCCTCCCACCTATCCACTCCTCCCACCTCACTGACCAATCCCCACCACTATCCACCTTTTATCACTGTCCCCCCCTCTATTTATTTCAGAACCCCCTTCCCCTCCCCCATTTCTGA